TGTGCACTGCAGGGCCAGGTAGTGTTTCTGACAGGTGTTCCTGTGGGTCCTCGTTTGCCTTCTGAAGCGGCTGAAGGCACAACCTGTGTGAAACTTGCTGTTAAAAGGCCTGTGGGGACTGGGTGTCCAGACCGTGGGAAAGCCACTGAACTCTGGCTCTTCTTGCATCCTAGAGAAGTTAGACCTCATGGTGACAAATATCCATAAAAATTTAAGAGGGATCTGGGCGTGGCGGCCCAGCTTGTAACCCCAGCATCTCAAGAGGCCGAGGCAGGAGGATAGCACATTGGAGGCCAGCCTCAGCAACTCAGTGAGACCTGTCTCAGAATAAAAAATGAGCAGGTCTGAGTGTGGCGCTCGGAGGTGGAGAGCAGGCAGAGAGCCGAGTCCACATCCCGGTGCTGAAAGGAATCCATAAATAACGAAAGGGGAGACCTACCACCCAGCTTCCTGTTCTGCCTTCCCCTGGAAAAACCCTTCAGAGACTCAAAAGGGCGAGGTCCAAAGGCACACCTGAGCCCGGGCTGCTGTGGCGAGTCACAGGCAATGATCATGATGGTCACCCCCTGACACAGCGCAGGGTGGCAGTCACCTGAGCCTCCTTGGGCGGCTGGGGGAGGGAGGGAGGGAGGGAGGCCCTGGGACACGCAGAGGCTCTCCCTAAGACAGGCTTTGGCCTTTATCCTGTGGCACTGGGGATGGACCCCGGGGGGCGCTGCCACCGAGCCTCACCCAGCRCCTTCTATTTTGAGATGGGGCCTCCTTAAGCTGCTGGCGCTGGCCTGGGACTCCTGCCTCGGCCTCCCGGGTGGATGACAGGCACAGCCCCGGGCTCTCTTAGAGGTCATGGAACAGTCCAGCAGGGGCCGTGGAGCCTGCGGTGACATCAAGAAGCCAGATACCTACAGGCGAGGCCCAGCAGCAGCCCGCTCAAGACAGAGGCTGCCTTCCTAGCCTTGGGACCTCAGGGAGTGACCTTATTTGGAAATAGGGTCCATGCAGATGGAATCAGTTAGGATGAGGTCATGAGGGTGGGACCTGCTACAATGTGACTGATGTCTTCATGAAAAAGGAAATCAGGCCCCTGAGTTCCATTCCCGGTACCAAAAAAAAAGGGGAATTAGGACGCACACAAGGCACGGTCACGTGAAAATGGGTAAGGCGGAGGGTCACCACTGTCCACCGGCGCTCTCCCCACTGCCCCCACCGTGGCCGCGGACGTCCGGCTGCCCCCGCTCCAGAAGTGAGAGCCTGTGCACTGTTTGCACAATGAAACTTAATTAAAACCCAAGATGTCGGCTGAGCCTCCTCTGATGGGCTCAKGACCCTGGGACTCCACGTCACTTTGCTCTTCCTGGCTCCAAACGATCCACATTCCCAGGTGATTCATTAAAGGAATGAAGGGAATCGACACGGAATGGGGCGCCCTTAGGCACTATCCTAAGAGCTGGGGCCCCCAGGATCGCACGTTGCTACGGAAAGTAGATGCGGGCGGGGGTGCAGCTCCGTAGATGCCTGCTTGTCTAGCATCTGTCCCCTTCCTGTCCCCAACGCAGTGCCCGCTCCTTCTTTTTTTGGTACTGGAGATCGGTCCAGCCCTCGAGACAGGGCCTCGCTAGGTGGCCGAGGCTGGCCTTGAACTCGGTGCCCTCCCGTCTCAGGCCCTGCGCCGGGGTTACAGGCTGCAGACGCTGCGCCCCTCACCTCCTTTGGGTGGGCAGGAAACCCCTGAAGCGGTGCACGGTGCGCGGGCAGCTGGAAGGCGCTTCCTCGGCCGACGCCAGCCTTGTCAATCCAGTCAAAGGGGCGGGGCCGGAGGGGCTGGCCGGGCCGGCCAGGCCACCGCGAGGCGCGGGAGGTCCCCGGGCGATGGAGCAAGGAGCAGTCTGGAATCCGGGTCCGTCCAGATTCCAGGGCGAGCTCTTCTCCGCTCTGGGCGCATCTTAGAGAACCGAGCCGAGCTCCCAGGCCCGAACCCCGGGACAGCGAAGCCCCTGCGGGTCTCAGGGCGTCTGCAGGGCGGTGCAACCTCCGTCACAGTCGGGTTTTAGAACATTCCATCATCCCCCAAAGAAGCCCTGTCCCCTTGAGCAGTACCCTGTCCCCTCCCCGACCCCACGAATCCCGTCCCTGTCTCTGGATACTCCTGTTCCGGACGTTTCCCGCCAATGCAGCCGCACACCGTGAGGCTCGCTCCTGCTGTCCCCCTGCACAGCGGGAATCGGTCTTCATTCTTTCTTTCCCTGTAGTGCTGGGGGTTGAACCCAGGGGCGCTAGACCACTGAGCTACATCCCAGCCCTTTTTATTTTATTTTGAGACAGAGTCTCACTGAATTGCCCAGACTGGCCTTGAACTTGCCGTCCTCCTTCCTCAGCCTCCCCAGTAGCTGGGTTGACAGGTGTGTGAATGTCACACCGGCCTACTTCCGTTTTCATGGCCAACAATATTTTCCTGTGTGGACATGCCACACCTCACTGATTGATTCATTGTCAAATAATCAATGCTTTCACTTTCTGGGGCTTCTGAGCCACAGTACTGCTCTCATCCTCCGACACTCTGGTCTTTGCTTTGGTGCTGGGGTGGAATGGAGGCCACGGTCTAGGCAAGCAGTCTGCCCAGCTGCCTCCCCATCCCCGAGCCAGCCTTTGACGTGTGTGCTTGAAACGCCCGTTTTCCCAGGCGCGGGACGCAGGGTGGAATCCAATGGTAACTCCACGTTGACTTCACCCTTTCAGGAATTGCCTGCCCCAGCTGCGAGCCATGTACAGGATCCCTCCATGCATTTATTCAGCAATACACACTAAGCACCTCTTAGGGGCAGTGCCAGGTCACAGACAGAAAACATCAATGTGGAGAGATGTCACAGGAAGGGGGTCATGAGCAATTCCCAAAGATGGGGGGCTCAGGACAAGTGGGGTCCTTGACCAACGGGGGCGGGGGAGAATTTCAGCTCATGTCCATGGACCCGGAGATTGACTAGGAAGGCAGGGGATGCCCTGTGGGCCATGCCAGAGCAAGAGACTCTTGAGGTTCTTGGACTCTTCCTTTGGAGGAAACTTGGGGAAGGTGGCCTGGAAGCTCTGTGGGATTGACAGGGTGGTTCTGAGGATTTTTAAAAATATTTATTTTTTAGTTGTAGTTGGACACAATACCTTTATTTTATTTATTTCCATGGGGTGCCGAGGATCGAACCCAGGGCCTTGCATGTGCTACGTGAGCGCTTTACTGCTGAGCCCCAACCCCAGCCCTGGTTCCGAGGATCTTTAGACTGCCAGATTGTGGCTTAGTAGTAGAGTGCTTGTCTGACACGTGTGAGGCTCTGGGTTCGATTCTCAGCACCGCATATAAATAAATGAATAAAAAGAGGTCTATCAACAACTGAAAAAAAAAATCTTAAATGTCACATCTCTCTTAATCTACTGGTAGGCTAACAGTGCACAAGGTGATTTTCATAAGCTGGTGAAGTTACAGTAACTTTAATATTTACAGGTTTCCAGAAACTTGAGAGTGGCAGGCCTGGGAGAAACTGGCTTGGGAAGTGACAGACCTGGTATAAAGAAATTTAAATCAAAATTATATTTTCTTGGTGGGGCACAGTGACACACACCTGTCATCCCAGCAGCTCTGAAGGCTGAGCCAGGAGGATCACAAGTTCAAAGCCAGCCTCTGCAAAAGCAAGGCCCTGTGCAACTCAGTGAGACCCTATCTCTAAATACAAAATAGGCTGGGGATGGGGCTCAGTGGTTAAGTGCCCCTCTTTCTGTATGTCTCCTTCATATATATATATGAATTCTATCCTGCTTCACAGGGGTATGTGGGAGTGGGGGAAAGAGATGGACCACAAGCCTGGGAAACCCTTGCTGAATAGGCAACATTTGGGCAAATACCTAAAAGAGGTCCAGGAGAGAGGCAGGAAGGTATTGGGGCAAGGGTTTTCCAGGAGTGAGATACAGCAAAGGCCTAGCATATGGGAAAGAAACCGCAGGGGGCGTGGAGCCAGGGAGGGAAAGGAGAGGAGTGTGCTGGGGGTGGACAGATTGATTAGGGTCTAATGGGCCACGGTAGGCTACAGAGGTCAGCGTACCCTCCCGGTCCACCGCATTGGCAAGATCCCTGTGGTCTTTCTTCCCCACTATCCGTTCCCAAATGCTCTCAGCTCTCCTCATGATACCATCCCCAGCCTGACCTAGACCCTGTCTGTCTAGCCTCTATTTTGTTTTGTTTTTAAAATATTATTTCTAGCCATTAATGGACCTTTATCTATCTATCTGTATGTGCTGCTGAGATTCGAACCCAGTGCCTCACACAGGCCAGGCTAGCGCTCTGCCACTGAGCCCCAGCCCCAGCCCCAGCCTGGGGTCCAGCCTCTTGGTCCTGGGCATCGTGCAGTAAACCTATTGCACAGGAGGTAAAACCTTGGTCCTAGGGTGAAGCAATCCCCGCGCCCAGAAACCCCAGACCGCGTAGGGCGACATAACAGGGACAGCAAGTTAAGTGAATAAACGGGAACTCTCCCCCTCCCCAGCTTTTGAAAGACGCTAAGAACAGGTCCACCTAGCCCTACCGCAAGGGCGGGGCCTCTTGGACACCTTAACCTCTTCCCTAGCAACCTACCGCTGTCCCCATGGAAACTGAGGCGGGACCAACCCGGCTCCGCAGGTTCCCAGATCCGGCAGGGGCGGGGAGTCTCAGCTTCAGCCTGGGAGGAGCAGTTCGCGCCGCGCCTACTGGCCCTTTAAGAGGCTCCGCCCAGCGAGGCCTCCAGGAGCCCTTGATTGGTCCCGAGCGCAGCCGAGCGCAGCCGAACTTGACGCACCGCCCGCAGTCTTCCCGCCCCACCTCCCACGCGCCTCTGCAGCCTCCTCAGCCAATCACCCACTGGCGCGCCGACCTTCATCTGCATAGTCACGCCTCAGAGGGATGCCGCACCCAATCGGGCCACAGGCCACGACTGTCATTAGCATGCCGGGGGCGGAGAGGGGCGGAGCGGCCGGCAGGGGCGGGCTCGGGGCGGTTGGTTGGAGCGTCGCCGCAGTCGAAAGGTCCGGGAAAGTTTCTTTGGAGGTGAAAACAGCCGCGGAACTCGGGGTCCTGCGAGGGGGCGGGGGCGCCAGGGTCCGGGAGTCGGGGCGGGGCCCTTTCCGGGCGGGAGGGAAGCCGGCCCGGCCTCCCGGGGGGCGATCGCCCAACAAAGGATTCCTGGGGCGCCCGCCCTCGAGGACTTCCCCGCCCCCGGATCCGGCTCCCCCCGCCAGGCGCCCCGGGCCCGGCATTCGCGGCTCCCGGTCGGGGTGGGGGCGGGACCCCGCCATCCGGGGCTCGAGAGCCCACACCTCTGCCTGCTGGTGTTCCAGGTCCGGCCCGGAGCGGCCATGTCCCACGGTCCCAAGCAGCCCGGCGCGGCCGCCGCGTGAGTGCGCTGCCCCCCGCCCAGTCCGAGCTCCTGGACTCCCACCCCTGGGGGTCTTGACTCCCCCACCCGGGTCGGGGATCTCCACGGGCTTCTCCCTAGACTCCAGCCTGCGACCCCGCTCCTGGGCTCCAGTCCCTCCCAGGACTCCCGGCTCTCCCCGCTATAGAGGCAGTCTCAACCCCTTGATCCTGACCCCCTCGAGGTCAGGGAGGCCCCACCCCTCCCCGGACTCATGCCCCTCTTGGCCAGCTCCGTGGGCTCCGTGGTCTCAAAACGCTCAGGGTGAGCGCGGCGGGTAGAGAAGGCTCAGGGTGGGAGTAATCCTGATGACCCCTCGTCCCAGGCCGGCGGGTGGCAAGGCTCCGGGCCAGCATGGGGGCTTCGTGGTGGCTGTCAAGCAGGAGCGCGGCGAGGGCCCGCGGGCCGGCGAGAAGGGGTCCCACGAGGAGGAGGTGAGAGTCCTTCCCCTGCAGCAGGGGAGGCCCCGGGGTCCCGCCCCCAACCTCGAAGCCCTGCCCAAGACCAGATTTGAATTCCTGGAGCTTCCTCCCACAGCCCTGATTTCTTCTGGAAGCAGAGAGAGACCCCACCCCACCCGTGCTAGATGCCACGCCCCTAACAGACTCACTGCCTCTGAGCCCAGATCCCGCCCAACGCCAGTGGTAGTTCCCCCTCCCCGAGGGCCCCGCCCACTTCCCCGCCTCCCTGGGGACCGCACCCTCCCCACCAAGAAGCCACGCCCATAGCCCAAGCCAACCACATCCCTGGGCTCTGCCCACTCTCTAGTAAGTCAGATGCCCTCCCCCGGTCAGGGAACCCCTCTAATACCCAGGTCCGGATGCTTGGCCGCGTCATACCTCCAGTCCTTCCCGGTTTTCCAACTAGCCCCGCCCACGCAGTCCCCGCCCCTTCTCCGCTGAGCCCCGCCCCTGCCCTCCAGGCCCCTCCCAATAACGCAGAGGGGTTTTGCAGCCGGTGAAAAAGCGTGGCTGGCCCAAGGGCAAGAAGCGAAAGAAGATTCTTCCGAATGGGCCCAAGGCCCCGGTGACAGGCTACGTACGCTTCCTGAACGAGCGGCGTGAGCAGATCCGGACGCGCCACCCGGACCTGCCCTTTCCCGAGATCACCAAGATGCTGGGAGCAGAATGGAGCAAGCTGCAGCCAGCAGAGAAGCAGGTGAGGGGGACCCCCAGCCCACTCGGACACCCCTGCAGCCACGTCCCTCAAAGCATGTGGAGGGTTCATGTTCTGCTTGGAAAAATGAACACCCACCCCAAGTTGGCAATAATTAGCAACAGGGGAGAATAGTTCTAAGATTTAATGTTATACCTAAAGATGTAGAGATGGGGGCCATATTTGTTGGTGAAATCTTGTGAGTCTCAAATTCTGGTAATTAGTTTTAAAATTGCAAAAGCAGGGCTGGGGATGTGGCTCAGCAGTAGCGCGCTCGCCTGGCATGCGTGCACCCGGGTTTGATCCTCAGCACCACATACCAACAAAGATGTTGTGTCCGCCGAGAACTAAAAAATAAATATTAAAAATTCTCTCTCTCTCTCTTTCCTCTCTCACTCTCTCTTTAAAAAAATATATAAAAAATAAAAAAATAATAAAATTGCAAAAGCATTGAAGAGATTTAACAAATCCGCTTCCAGTTTGCACCTGTTGAAAGTGATATTTCAGCAAGCAGAAACGGTGTGGCATGGAGTAGGGACAATCCAGGCATTAGCAGCCTAGAGGAGGGGGGTCATGTAGGAGGGAGGAAGGCGCTGAGTTGGGGCTGTGGGAGGTAAGGTGGGCACTGTGAAGTGCCCTGGGCAGCATCCTGAGGGCACAGGGAGCTATGGAAGGCTAGGGGGGTGGGGCAGGGCCAGACCTGGGTGAGGGAGGCAGAGTCTGGCCGTGAAGGGCTGTCATCTGGGCTGGGCTGAGCCTCTGGATGCTGCCCTGTCCCGCAGCGGTACCTGGATGAGGCCGAGCGGGAGAAGCAGCAGTACATGAAGGAGCTGCGGGCCTACCAGCAGTCAGAGGCCTACAAGATGTGCGCTGAGAAGATCCAAGAAAAGAAGATCAAGAAAGGTGAGTCTGCTGGAGGCCAGTGTGTGGCACCTGCCCTGCATGGTACTGACCCCTGCCCAGGCAGAGATCCCCTCCATGGAGAGAAAAGACACATAACCGGCTAGACATGCATGAGGGTCACTCAGTGCTGCAAGGGGGACCACGTGGGGAGCCGGAGCCAGGATGAAAGAGAACTGACCTAGGGGAGGGGCGGCAGACAGCCTGTGCGAAGGTGGCCACTGGAAGGCTGATCCTGCCCTCCTCCCTCCCCTACCAGAGGACTCGGGCTCCGGGCTCATGAACACTCTCTTGAATGGACACAAGGTAATGATGTTCTCCTCCTGGGACAGCATGCTCCTGGGAGAGAGATCTGGAGGTTTCTAGACCCTCTGGTGGATGTTAAATGACTGCCATCTCCCCGAACATCCAGGGGGTGTGTCTGCCTTCCCTCCAAATTGCCACCTTGTCCTTTTGCCCCAGGGTGGAGACTGTGACGGCTTCTCCACCTTCGATGTTCCCATTTTCACTGAAGAGTTCTTGGACCAAAACAAAGGTGAGCGTTAATGGAGTCCTAAGAGCCCAGCGCATGGACGTGGGTGGTGTGCTCAAGGGTGGGCCAAGAGGGTGCCATGGTGGGAGAAAGGGGAAGCGGGGTCCGCCTCCTCTAAGCTGGGGGCTGGTGTGGGACGGGTAGCACAGCTCGGGCCAAGGCCGAGTGGCCGGGGTCCCAGGGCCAGCTCCAGGCTCTAACCTACTCCCCGGCTGCAGCGCGGGAGGCGGAGCTGCGGCGCCTGCGGAAGATGAACGTGGCCTTCGAGGAGCAGAACGCGGTGCTGCAGAGACACACGCAGAGCATGAGCAGCGCGCGCGAGCGCCTGGAGCAGGAGCTGGCGCTGGAGGAGCGGCGGACGCTGGCGCTGCAGCAGCAGCTCCAGGCCGTGCGCCAGGCGCTCACCGCCAGCTTCGCCTCGCTGCCTGTGCCGGGTGCGGGCCGCCCCCACCTCTGAGCCCCGCCCAGCCCGCCGCAGACCGACCCGAGCGCCCCAGCCCCCAGACTAACCTAAACTCGTAGCTCCTAGCCCCGTCCCTTCTGGCCGGCCCCGGGAGCCCCGCCCCTTTGACCTCCCCAGCTCCCCCAGACCACAGGAGCTGCTCCTCGCCGCCCCTCCTACCTCAGGCCCTCCCCCGCACTGAGCCCTGAGCCGTCCCCTGGGGCCCGCCCCTGCCCTGCCCTCCCTGTCCCACTAACCCCCAACTTCTTAGCACCACCCCTCCCTGTGCCCTCTAGCCCCACACCCCACTCCGCGGGGTCCTCCGCTCTTATAGGCCCCCACCACCACTAACCGGGTTCCCCACAAGACCCTGCTGTCCAGCTTCCTGCCCACAGCTGACCTTGATGGCCTCCTGCGGCGTCCATATCCAGATAACCCAATCCCGACCCCACCCCACTATTACTGCTGGTGATCCCCCTAGCGGGACCCCTTCCTGCAGAACCCCTGTCCTCTGCCCCAGGGAGCCAGTCCCTGTGAGTCCTTGGGGCTGCTGAYCACCTGCCCGCCTTCCACAGGCACTGGTGAGACGCCGACGCTGGGCACGCTGGACTTCTACATGGCCCGGCTGCATGGGGCCATCGAGCGTGACCCAGCCCAGCATGAGAGGCTCATCGTCCGCATCAAGGAGATCCTGGCCCAGGTCGCCAGGTCTGTGCCTGGTTCTGTGGCCTGGACCCCAGCTTAGCCACCAGAGGGGTCCCTGGGGAGTCCTGGAGGGGCTGGTAGGGTATAGCCTTGTCAGGTGGGGTCCAGAACGTCCCCAAATCTCAGGGTAGATGCTAGGTGCCCAGGTTAGTTGGGCTCCACTCTGGGAGGAGCTGGGGGGCCTGGCCTCTGGGTTTCCTGGGAATGGTGGGTGCTGAGCCCTGATGTGGGGCCTCCTCTCTCCCCTTACAGCGAGCACCTCTGAGGAATGGGCCGCTCAGGACGCAGATAAGCAGCTCTGGGCTCATCTCTATCCCACCCCAGTGAAGGAGAGGCTGGGGGTCCCCCCTTAGGGGCTAGGCCCCATTCTGCACCTTGGGGGCTCCAGCCCCCCTAAAATTAAATTTCTACAATATCCCTTTAGCTTTCAGTCTCCCCAGCTTCTTGAACCCAGAGGAAGCACTGGGCTTTGGAGCTGCAGCCAGACCCTGTGGCTGCAGAGCTAGAGAGGCCTGCTCCCCTCTTGGGGCTGGCCACAGCGCAGGACCCAGTCAGGACTGCTGCACACCTGGTGGGGCTCCGTGGCCACCCACCGCATGATGTGGGACCCCGAATTGCTCACCAAGAGGGCGGCACCATGTGCCTTACAGGCAGGGGACACCCTRGTGACCACTTTCACTGGTGGGCCCCCAAATCCCTGCATCCCAGGGAAGGCTCTGCAAACCCCTTGTCCAGTGGAGGGACCTCGGGAGCCAGACCTTCCCCATCTCAACCCCAACATCTGCAATAAACAGTGCAGTTTGCGTTCGGGCTTGTGAGTGTGCAGTTTCTGGGGTGTGGGTGGGCCAGGAGATGCACACAGGGCCTCTGGGACACCAGCAAGGGACTTCAGGCCTGCCCTCCTACCTCCACAGAGCAGCATCCACCCTGCRCTCCTGGCCGGCCGGTGGGCTCAGCACAGAGGGGCTCAGGAGGTTGCAGGAGTCCGTGGCCATCCAGCTGGTCTCCAGCAGTGGTGGGACTGTGCTGTGTGCCCCTGAGCTGCGGCTACCATCTCATGAAATGAGATGAAATGAAATGACACTTCTGTGGCATTGAGTTCATTCACATTGTTAGGCCACCATCGTTTCTACTGACTACCAGAACATTCTTACCACCCCAAAAAGAAGTCCTGTCCCTATGAGCATCGTGCCCCAGTCCCCCAGACCCTGACAGCCAGACTCCACTTCCTGTCTCTGATTTAGGCACTTCCTGTGAGTGGACTCCCACCCACACTGTGTCCTTTTGTGTCTGAGCTCAGGCTGAGCGCCAGGTCCTCAGATCCACCCACACTGTGGCTGGTATCATGTTTGGCAGGTCGGTTGGTTGGTTGGTTGTGGTCCTGGGCATGGAACCCAGGGGCGCTCTGTCACAGCTACATTCTTAGCCCTTTGTGGTTTTGAGACAGGGTCTTACCTGGCATGCATGAGGCCCTGGATTCAACCCCCAGCCCTTCAGGGCAGGTGAGAAACAAAGGGAGCCAGGCCCTCAATAAGTTACCCAGGCTGGCCTCCGAATCGGCCCTCCTGCCTCAGCCTCCCGGGTACCCAGACAATAGGCGTGAACCCCTCCCTGGCTTCACTGGGCAGCTTTCTAAGCGATAGCAACTTCTCCTTCCTGCCCAAGGCCTCCTGGAACTTGCTTCCCACCAATGATTGGTTCGTGAGATTCCTCGGCAGCAGGAGGCTGCTGAGGCTCTGCCTTGTGGCTGTGTGCCACGCACCTGTCTAAGAACGCCGATGGATGCCCAGGTGGTTCAATCCCACAGCCCCAGGGGGCTGCAGGCTTCTGTGCTGGGTATCCTTGTCCTCACCAAAGACTGCCTGAGTGCCCGCTCTGTGTAGCAATGCTGCAGGAATAAAGGACACCAAGGGGGGGCTGGGGTCGAGGCTCAGCGGTAGAGCACTGCACCTGTGAAGTTCTGAGCTCCACCCTCAGCACCACATAAAAACAGACAAATACAAAAAGGTATTGTGTCCAACTACAAGAATGATAAGAATTAAAAAAGGACACCAGGCCCAGGCCCTCCAGGAGCTGAGCCTGTAGACAGGGACGCAGGCAGGACACAACTATCTACTGTCTTTAGATGCTAAGGAGACAACGCTGGGGAAGGTAGGTTTAGAGGTGGTGCAAGCAGGAGGTCAAAGTCCTGAAAGAGGTGGGGAGTGAGCCAGGCAGAAGGCACGCTGTGCTGTGCGAAAGCTCTGGGGCAAGGCTTTGGAGGCAGAGTCAGGAGTTTGTGTGGCTGGAACAGAGGGGAGAGGGAAGGGGGAGGCAGTGAGGGGACAGGAGAGGTCCTGCAGGGTCTCCTGGATCACAGGAGGACTTGGGCTTTGACCCAAAAGGAAGTGGGAGCTACGGAGGGCTGTGGGCAAAGGAGGGACGCCCAGCAGCTCACATTATACCAACATAACGCCCCTCCCCATCTCTTAAGTCTGTTGCAAGAATTAAAGAACCCACGCAGCAGAGAGTGAGCGCCAGGGCACGGAGCTGTCCCCGACCTTATTTGCGATCCTTGTTATTTCTGCATCTGCATCTCAGGCCCCTGCGGACCGCCAGACGTCCCCAGGGAGGGTGCAGCTGGCCCTGGCAGGGCCCGGACACCTGGGGCCCGTGCCCCCCTCCCCACCCCATGGTATCGCCTTCCCGGGCGGCTCGGGTTCCCGGATCGCCTTACCAGGGCGACTCGGCTATCGCGCCCTGGACAGGGGGAGGGGAGGCTGCAGGAAGCGGTGGATCCGGAGGCGGCCGCGGCAGCCTGGGTGGGTGGAGGAGCTCCTCCGGCCATGGAGAGCGCTACTGCCCGCGAGGCCCCGGGGGCTGAGACCCCGCGCGCCCCCGTGCCCCCGCCCTCCCCAGCGGAGACCCCAGCCGCGCCCCGCGTGCGCCCGCGCCTCGTCTTCCGCACGCAGCTGGCGCACGGCAGCCCCACCGGCAAGATCGAGGGCTTCACCAACGTCCGCGAGCTCTACGCCAAGATCGCAGAGGCCTTCGGAATCGCGCCCACCGAGGTGAGTGCCCCCCACCCCGATTCCCGCGCCCGAGGTGCCGGGCGGAGCGGGGATAGGGACCGAGCCTGGGCCCTAGACGGGAGCCCGCGGATCTCAGATTCCTAGGAAACCTCGGGTCCCAGGACCCCCGGATGCTGGGCGCTTGCGGAGGTGGGTTCCCCAGATCTCAGGAATGCTCCTCTGGATCCGAGGTGCCCTGCGCAAAAGATTAGCAGGTCTTGGGTCAGGAGCGCCTGCTCTTCCAGGGCCCGCTCCATGGACCCAGCTCGGATGGGTCCCTGCCTCCGGGAGGAGCTCCCCGAGTGCCTGGGCACGGGTGCCTGGGGTCCCGAGGTCCGTGGCTCTGGAGGCTGGGAGCTGGTGCTTTCCAGACAGGTCCTTGCACTGTGCAGCCCGAAGGGGGCGCCAGGAAATTCCATTTTTCTGAAAAAAACCTCCTCCGGGGTTTAACATGGAAGCCAGGGTTCGGCAGGTGGCGGAGAGGGACCCCTTGTGTCCGCAGCTTCCTTTTCTCCCACATCCCCATTCTGAGGTCCCCACCCCGGCCAATCCCTGCGGGCTGCCTTGGCACCTCGGTTTCCTCCTGGGGCTCTGCAGCCACGCACTCCAGGGTGGTGCAGAGTCCAGGGCTGAGGCAAACTCGGGCCCCCTCTCCCACAGATCTTATTCTGCACCCTCAACAGCCACAAGGTAGACATGCAGAAGCTTCTGGGTGGACAGATAGGGCTGGAGGACTTCATCTTTGCCCATGTGCGCGGCGAGACCAAGGAGGTAGAGGTCACCAAAACAGAAGATGCCCTGGGACTGACCATCACCGACAATGGGGCTGGCTATGCCTTCATCAAGGTGCCTAGGGTGGCCGGTCACTTCCTGGGTGTTTGGGGATCTGACTTGAGTGACTGCCTCTTTGGATCTACGTAGGCTCTGGGGACCCAAGGGAGGTGGCCGGGTTGCCTGAGAGCAGCTCTGGGTGCCCACAGAGGATCAAGGAGGGCAGCATCATCAACCGCATCGAGGCAGTGTGTGTGGGTGACAGCATCGAGGCCATCAATGACCACTCCATCGTCGGCTGCCGCCACTACGAGGTGGCCAAGATGCTCCGGGAGCTGCCCAAGTCCCAACCCTTCACCCTGCGCCTGGTGCAGCCCAAGAGAGCCTTCGGTGAGAGCCACCTGGGCTGGCGGGGGGAGCGACCAGAAAGCGGGCACTTGGGACAGTGGAGGAGGGGCAGGGTGGACGGTGTGGAGGGCCGGGCTCAGGGGCAGAGTGCCTGCCTGGACGTGGGGCCCTGGGCTCCACCCCCAGCATCACACACCCAGAGGACATTTCTGGATGCCTCTTGTGCATGGCAGGCTCCTGGCACTGTGTCCAGAACGGGCAGGGACTTTCTAGACCACCAGAGGGTCAGTGGTGGGGGAGGACGGGGGAAAGCTTGGGCAGAGGGGTCAGACAGGTCAACTGTTTGGCCGGCTGAGAGCTTGTGAGGTGGCCCCGTGACACCTGGCGTGTTCTAGGAAGGTGCTTTCCATAGGGAATCAGACTGGCCCCTGGGAGAGGCAGGAAGCTTGCTCCAGACCATGGCTCTCGCCTCGGCACTGTGGACACCGGGGCTGGACCCTTCTCTGGAGGGGTGTCCTGGGCACTGCAGGGTGCTGAGCCACAGATGTCAGACATGGCCCAGGGTGCCTGGGGACAGGTCCACCCTGCTGGGGCCTCTGTTGGAGAATGTGCACCATCATGGCCACTTCCTCCTGTGGACCAACATGGGCTGCCCTCCTTGGCCCGTCGCGGGTGGCCCTTGGGGTGGTACCATTCTAGGATGACAGACTCCCACGGTGCCTGGCACCTGGTGGAGGAGGCCCAGGAGACAGGAGCGGGGGGTTAGATCTGTCTAAAAGGAAGAGCCACTTCTCCAGGGAGGACGCTGACCCTCCAGCCACCCAAGCCAGTCCTGTGAAGAGGCAGGTTTGGGAAGTGTCCAGGGCAGGATGGACATGTCGGTCTCCGCCTGGCTGCTCTGTGGCTCCCTCTGGGCTCGTGGCTTTGTGTCTTAGGAAGAGTGGAACCTGAATGGTCTCTGAAGGTGAAGGGCAAGAAGGTTCTAGAAAGCTCAGCTGGTGGCTTCCCGGGATTCTCCACATCCAGAACACGCCTGTCCCCCCTCTGTTCCCTCCAGATATGATCGGCCAGAGGAGCAGGGGCAGCAAATGTCCTATGGAAGCACGAGTGGCCAGTGGGAGGGAGACCCTGCGGCTCCGCTCTGGGGGTGCTGCCACAGTGGAGGAGGCGGTGAGTGGGGCTTCCTCCAGGGCCCGGCGCCCAGGCTCCCCCACCCCGGAGCCTCCTTTCCCCTCCCGTGAGGCGGGTCCTGGGAGGAGGCAGGGCCATCGGGTGGCGCCAGAGCACTGATGCTGCGTGTCCCAGCTGCTCCTCCCCGGGGTGGGTGGCTGGGTGGCACTCCTCACCCTGGGCCTCCTCCCCTGTGCCCAGCCCAGCGAGTTTGAGGAGGAGGCCTCCCGGAAGGTGGACGACCTGCTGGAGAGTTACATGGGCATTCGGGACCCAGAGCTGGGTAAGGGGCCCGGGTAAGCTGGGGGTCCCTGGAGGGAGGACAGTCCCCGGGAGGAGGCCGGGCCCCGGGCAGGCAGAGGCCAGGAGCAGCCTCACCACGTCCCTCCCGCACGCCCACAGCATGCACTATGGTGGAGACATCCAAGAAGACAGGCAGCGTCCGGGAGTTTGCGCGCTGTTTAGACTCCGTCTTGGGCGAGTTTGCCTTCCCGGACGAGTTTGTGGTGGAGGTGTGGGCCGCCATCGCAGAGGCCAGGGAGGCCTGTGGCTAGTCTGCCCGGGGGCCGAGCGCAGCCCCAGCCCGCAGCCCAGCCCACTGCCCCCGCCATCCCAGCCGGTGCCCAAAGCCCAGCCCTGCTCCAGAACCCAATCCACTTCAGAGTCCCAACCCGGCTCCACAACCCAGCCCTTCAAAAGAACGCAGCCCAGCTCTGAGGCCAAACTGTGCTCCAGAACCCAGGCCAGCTCTGAGCTAGAACCCACCTCTAGATACCAGCCAGGCTCAGAGACCAAATGCAGCTCTGAGACCAAGGCTGGCTCCAGAACTCAGTTCAGCTCTGAGATCAAGTCCTGTTCTAGGACTCAGAGCAGCACTGAGACTAAGCCTGACTCCAGAACCCAGCTCAGCTCTGAGACCAAGTCTTGCTCTAGAACGCAGGCCAGCTCTGAGCTAGAATCCACCTCTAGATACCAGCCAGGCTCGGAGACCAAACTCAGCTCTGAGACTAAGCCTGACTCTTTAATCCAGCTCAGCTCTGAGATCAAGCCCTGTTCTAGAACTCAGGCCAGCTCCGAGAACAAGCCTGACTCTACAACCCAGCTCAGCTCTGACACCGAATCTGGCTCTAGACATCAGGACAGTTCT